GCTAATGAAGCTAAAGCATGCTCGAATCGTGGAAGACCGATCAGCTCTAAAGATAAAAATCTCTAAAAGAAAAGGGCAAGATGAAAATATAAAGGATGTAAATATTCATAAAACGAGTCTAAGATATTTCTAATAATAGGCTTCCGAAGAAGTCCAAATGCTTGAGAAAAATCAAGAGATTTTGATAAATTATGTTAATACGAGGAGAAAATAGGATCAAAGAGAAATATTTATTGATAAAATTTTCACATGTAATGTTGCAATTGATATTTTGAATGAAAATAAGGATCCCGAGCCTAAATTATTAAAGAATGACGACATAAATATGATTGGCCTAAATGAAAAGAGCAATTCAAGTAAAATTATGTTCTCCTATAAAAGAGTAGTTTTTTGAACCCATAGCTAAAACACGTGAAGATATTAAGCTAGTGGGATACAAATGTGTATTTATGCGAACACAAAATAAGAAAGATGAGATTGTAAGATACAAAGGAAAACTTTTAACACAAGATTTTTGCAAAGAACTGACATTGACTATGAGGAGACATATTCTCCTATAATGAATGTAATTATATTTTATTATCTCATTAGCTCTGGCAAAATATATGAAAAATATTCATATGCATGCATTTCATGAATGTGATCATAATTTATTTATTAATTTGAAATGAATCAGTATGAAAGTCCTAGAAGAACTTAACATGCTAAAAGCACGTAATACATATTTTCGAGATAAGAATTCAATTAAATTATAGAGATCTCTATTAGGATTATTTTAGTATTTTTTTATTATTTTAGTTTTTAGAAATTCAACTTATACTATATTTTTTTGTATTTTATTTTTATATCTGCTATTTATTGCTAAACCATGTGTATGTGATATAATCACTTCAATAATTATTGAAAAAAGTTATAAAAAAAATAATAATAGCCTTATTTGTTCATATATTTTTATTTGAAAAGGGGTTTGTTGTATATGTTGATAACTTAAATATTATTGGAACTCCTAAAGAGATTCCAAATGTCATAAGTTATCTAAAAAGAGAATTTGATATGAATACCTTGGAAAAATAAAATGTTATCTCGACCTACGGTTCAAGCACTCGAAATGAGATTTTTATTTATTAGTTAATTTATGTAGAAAAAGGTTCTACAATGATTCTATATAAAGATCATTCATTGACTAGCCCAATGGTAGTTCATTCACTTGATGTCTAAAAAGACCCTTTTCAACCTCGAGAAGATAACGAAGAACTACTTGATCTTGAAATACCATATCTTAGTGCCACTGGTGCATTGATATATCTTGCTAATAATACTCGACTTGATATAGTCTTTTCTATAAATTTATTAGCAAGTCATAGTTTTATTTCTATATGAAGACATTGAAATAAAGTTAAATATATACTACATTATCTTCGAGGAATAATTGATATGAGCTTATATTACTTCAATAAATCAAAGACAAGATTAATTGGTTATTCGGATGCGGAGTTATTTATCCGATCTATACAAAGTTTGATCACAATTGGTTATATATTTACATATAGAGATACAACTATATCTTGACATTCTATGAAGCAAACTATAGTCGTCACATCTTCAAATCATGTAGACATATCAATTCACGAGGCAAGTCGAGAATGTGTTTGGCTAAGATCAACGATCCATCATATCCGAGAGACATACGGTTTATCTATCAGCAAAAGAAGTTTCCATAATATCATATAAGGATAATGTTGTTTGCATTATTCCATTAAAGAAAGAATATAATCCAACGGATTTATTCGCTAAAGCATTACCTACCACGACTTTTAAAAAGATGATTCACAAGATTGAAATTCATCGTCTTAGAGATCTCAAATGTTGTTTTCAACAAGGGGAGGTCAATATTAAGATTAATGTGTACAAGGAATATTGTACTCTTTTTCCTTTACAAGGATTTTTTTTCCATCGGATTTTTTCATAATAAGGTTTTAACGAGGCATATTCCTTGTATAACGAGCATTCAAGAGGGAGTGTTATAAAATAATGAATGTCCATCATCATGTTCATTTATTTTTCATATCCCCACTACTCATGATTCTTAATATGATTCAATTCATCATTCAATATGAGAAATTGAAAGGGTGATGCAATTGATTATTCATAGTCCCTTCCAATTCTCTCTTCAATTTTGAAGCCCGTAATTAGGCTTGATTGTTCATTAATTGGTGTACAAGTTTTCTAGAGAAAATAAGAGAAACTTTGAACTTCTTATCACTTGTATTCACATTATAGTGATTTCATGTTCTTATCACTATTTTCTTCAATTCTCCTATTATTTTTATTTATTTTATAACAACTATATATATGTTTAATAAACTCACAATGGCTAGTAATAGTTATAATAAGTATTAATAATAATTGCTATTATTTAAGATGATAATAATTAACTCGTATTAATGTCAATGTAACTGTTTTTCTATTTAATAACCAAAAAAAAAAAAATTTAAAGCATGGTAAAAAAAATCTTAGTCATCATGATACATGTCAAGTGTTAGAGGCATCACCTCTCACTATGTTTGTTTTTCTATTATTATATAGCTCTTACTAGCTGGTTGCTCATGCTACATCTTGGATTTAGTAGAACAAAATTATTTTTAAATTTTAAAATTTTTTAATTATAATATTTTATTTAATTAATTTTTTAATTTTATTCATTTTTATAATTTTTTTGTTTAAAAAACATATATCATTCTTCTTTGTGGATTGATTTTAAAATTAAAAATTGTAATAATTTTAACTAAAATATTAATGAAGAATTGAAAAAAAGCTTTAAAAATATAATTTTCACAATATTGTATTCCAAAAAATAAAGGACCAAAAAGAAATGAAGTGCAAAATTTAAAAATGAATGCAATATATATATATATATATATATATATATATATATATATAAGAAAATCATGAAAATGCCATTGTAGAAAATCATAAAAATACTCTTGTAAATTACTTGTTTAAATGAATAGTAATTCATTGTTCAAAATTGTTGTTCATTTATCCCAGCTATTTTATTTTTTTAGTTAATTTTTTTTTACTGTATCTCTCTCTGTCTTTATTTGAACGTACTTAATCTCTTTTTGAAATAGAATTCAGAAAAGACAATTAATAATGGTCTCACATCCTGTGACTAGTAAAAATAAAACATTTTCATCCAGCATGATACATGTTAGGCGTGTATAATTTGTAAGGAAAAAAAAGAAAAAAGAAAAAAAAAGGTGTAAGAGACATCACTTCCCACTACATGTGTTTTATTATGCTTGTATAGACTATAACACACATCCTTTTACATTTTGTTGCATCAAAAGCAATTAGCAAAATGGTATCCAAATAATTTTGCTAGAGAGCAATTACTCATCGAGCAAAGTGACAAAAATAAGTAGAAATAGTTGAGCCTATGCGTATATAATTAGATAAGTATTCAATTTATCTTTACATTCTAAACGAGTCAATTATATTTTTATATTTTAAATGAATTTTTAATTTATCTTTCCGATGATATTTTTTGATAAAATTAAAAAATATATATATAATGTGATTTGCATATGATGAATGAGCATATTCATGTTACCAATCCGTCTCTATCTTCTCTCCTACCTTGATCGGAATCTAGCCAAGGACAAGTACTAAATCAATTTTTTCTTCTTCTTTTTTCTCCTCTTTCTTCTTGCCCTTCTTCCCTTTTTCCTCTCCTTCCTCTCCTTCTCTAAAAATTCAGCTAAAATCACCCCAAACACAATCAATCCTCTCATTTTTTCGACTACTCCCTTCATTTTTTTTTTTTTTTTGCCAAAACCTTCATATTTCACTTAGAATCAAATCCTAACCCATCGATCTACATGCCTAGACCTTAAAGGCCATCTTTTTCATCTTTCCCTCAACTTCTTTAGGTCAATATCAAGTCCTAACCCACCGGCTACTATCAAACTTGCCACTTTCCTCCACTTCTCTTTCATTTTCGATCACTTGCCATTTTTAAGCACTTTTTAATCATAAAAAATCAAGCCTAATACCACGGACCCATAACTTTTCATCAAAAAACATGGTTTTGTTCTTGTCCTCGGCTAGATTTCGACCAAGGTGTGTGTGTGTGAGAGAGAGATGATCCGCATATGTCTAGTCGGTTGAAATATATTTTTGGTATAAAATTGATCATGTGTAAATCACATCATAATTATGATGGTTTTGTCAAAAAATATTATTAGAAAGATAGATTAAAAGCGAGACTTAAAATACATAGACATAATTGATTCATTTTAGAATATAAAGATAAATTAGACACTTACTAATTATACAAGGATATTGAGCCATTTCTCCCTTAAAAATAACTAACCATACATAATTTTATCTATTTTATTTTTAATTGTAGCTAGTTTTTTTTAGTAAGAACTAATATAAAATGACATATAAACTTTGTAGAGACCAAATTGAAATTAAAGATATTACTAGAGTAAATTATAAATTATTCCATTTTTTAAAGAATGAATTAATTAGTCTCGTTTTCTTATAAAAACTAATGATTTAGTTCTTTATGTTTTAAAGTCAATAACTTAGTTTTTTCTTTTTTTATCAGTTTTCTGTTAAATTAATGATTTTTATTTCCTAATTTTTTTTTAATTTTTTATTGAGGAAAGAGAAATTAAATGGGTGGTTGAGAAGAATAAAGCATAAAAGAAAGAAAAATTTGGAAAAAATACCAGTATAACGAAAAATTGATGAAATGATTAAGTTAGTCAAAATGTAAAGTATTAAAAGATTGTTTTTTAAAATGAAGGGGACTAATTAATTTATTTTTCGAAATGAGAGACTAATTTATAATTTTCTCGATATTACTAGGGGTTGATTTATTTATTTATTTTGTGTAAAATAATAAGACGAAAAACCCAGCATGATCAAACTTCAACGACTAGGAGAGGCACGATGAAGAAAAAAGGGGCAAAATCATTAGGGAAGCGAAGATGGGGATTGCAAAGAAGGACAAAAAGATCATTCTTCAACATCTCCTTGTGCTCATCTTAGAGCTGCTTACCACAATTGCTTCAATAGGTCCTTCTTCTTCTTCTTCTCTTCCTTAAAAATACTGGATTTTTTTTTCTTTTTCCTTTTCTTGGGTGTTTTTTTTTTTCAATAAAACCCCTCGTAAACCCTAACTATCATTCTCTGGATAATTCTGTATAGGTGGTATTCAGAGAAGTTTGTCAAAGGACAGTGGGGCAAAGAGGAGTGTGTTTCTGAGTGGCAAAAATACAGAGCTTGCCTTTCTGTATCTCCATTTCCCTTACTTTCTTTTCATATTTTCAGTTTATCCATGAGGGTGCTATTCTTTGTTAATATGCTTCTAATTCTTTCTACAATTATGAATCCCTTGTTGAAAGTTTGTAATTTTATTGTTGTGTTTTTAATAACAGGAACATTTGGACGATAAGCATTTGAGTCGTTTTTTGGAAGCTGAAATAATCCCGTCTGATTTAGGAAAGCCAGTTGATGGTGTGGCCACAGGGGTTTCTCAGTGAATTGTACTCTTACATCTTTATTTAACAAGCTAGAGAACAAGTTAGATGGTGAGTGCTGTAGCTTTTGTGGGTTTGCTGCTTGATCGGTTATATTATTTGTAAGATGTGGTGTTTGATTAATTTGATCAAATGGTTTATTGGGTTATTCTGAGTGCTGTGATTCTATAAAGAATTTGATTGTAAAATATTTTGTTGAAAATGAATTAGACCCCATAACCATGCTCTTGAACAGCACACTGTCTGTCTATCAGTCTCTGATCATGTATCTTTTCTTATATCTGCATTTTGTAGTTCTTCATGCGGTTTAAATTCTGTTCTTGCATGCGATACATGTTTAGCCTGAAGTAGATTATCATGCTTCAATAAAAACAAGAATCAGTAAGATGTTATTGTTGAAATATCAGCTCATTTGTTTGTGTTTTTCTATTGAAATGATGGATTAAATCAACATCTCTGGCAAACCTAGAACGTATATATTACTTTGACAAAATTTAATGATTGTTGTTTTCTTCAGGTAATAAATCTGCAGAACCATCTAGCAGCAAAGCTGATTAAATGTATGAAGATGGTGTTTGACTGCAGACTATTACCATATGCTTAATTGATTTATCTTCTTTGCTTTTTGCTTTTTATTTTTTGCTATTTTTAGCAAGGCAGTTATATAGGATGAACATACTATTTATTGATTGTGATCGACTGATAGTAATTGTTGTTTTCTTCAGTTAATAAATCTGATTAAATGTACAACGATGGTGTTCAGCTACAGACTATTACCATTTGTTTAATTGCTGGAGATGCACATTCATTACCATATATGCACATTCATTGAATTCGGAATTTAGCTATCCTAGGTTATTGTTTTGTTTTGCATGTTGTGATGTAGGAGAGGATTATGATGTAGAATAGATGAAGAGAGCCTGCTGTCGAATTATATTTTATGGGCTGTACCATGTAAATTTGAGGGCATTGGTTCAGGAACTTGTTCTGACGTACTAATTTTGAGAAATTCTATTTAATGTTAGTACTCATTGACCATGAAATACAGTTAGGTTTCTTGTTTACCATCTTCCGTTCATGGCAATGGTCTTAAATGATCAGTAATTGATGCTAATCCTCTATCTTGCCAGCAAACCCGTTTACTACACTGCAAGAGGGTTCTGGATCTATTTGAAAGATGTAGCCGCAATTGCTAATATGGCAATGAAAACTGAAAACAAGGACGGAAATTTTGATTGATCTAAGAAACTTGGACCATAGCTGGTGCCTGCAAATTGGTTCCGGGACAACACAATTACATCTGTGCTTGTGATAGTTGAATACTGGTATTCAAGTGATGATGATTATACTTTTGAAATGCTAAAATACATCCTCGTTATTCAATTGACAGTTTTGCTTGGACTGTATCTTGAAGGCCTTATTGACTTTGAAAAGGAGAAGTACAGCACCACCTCTTCCAACATAGTATTATCTTCTGCTGAAACGGAGCTTGAATACTTCACTTTTTCTTAAATAGAAAAAGTGCAACCATCCACTCTTCTCCGTTGTTGTATCCAAAGAGTTCTGCAACAGCAATGAAGAATGTTCTCCAGTAGACAGTCCACTTAACAGCTTGATCTTTACCATAGGTTGACTCCATTATTGGCTTAATGGAAGCCAAGTTCCGGTCCATTCTTTTGAGCCACTCCTCACTGCAAGATTTCAGTGCATCTTAACAAATGAGATGATCCATTGCAACAACCAATAGTTTAATTGATTCGGAAGTTCTGCACTTTTGGCAGGAAATAAGAATTCTTAACCGAGTATTTTTGTTACATTTGCGGAGTCACTCTTACCTTGTATGTGAATAATGTTCCCCATTCACAAGCCAATGATTAACAATGGAAACATCATCCTGCACCATATATTCATTGAGATTTGAATCTAGAGCCTGGTATGTTTCAAAAGGAAAGCATGTATTTGAGAATGAGATTTGCAAGTACTGACCTGGAAATAAAGTAACAGATTTGCCGATGGCATTGAACCTCCGGTGAAGAAATGCCTAGTCATCCAGTCATCTTCATTTACATCCTGAATAGAAACAGACGCTGGAATGTAAGTTTATTCAATATTTGCAGGCGCTCCATGAATAGATGCTTAAAGAGTTAAGATTAGCATATTTAGAGCAATAATATGAATAAAATTCCAATTCCAATCAATAAATGCCGATTTTGCTACCTCAAAGTGGTAAGCAAATGCCCTGTGGCAGAAATAATCAACAAAAAGAAGGCCATCTTGTTTCATCCATTTGGATATCTTGTTAAGAAGATCCCCATAATTCTTCATATGCTGCGAAAGGACAAAATAAATCTTAAACCAAGTCAACCTTGACCACCACATCCCTAAAGTAGCATGAAATGCACCGACCTCAAACATTCCAATGGAGTATATACGGTCATAGGATGCCTCCATTTCAAATGTGCTTATGTCCGCAACAATGATCTCCACATTCTGCAGCTGAAGATCTCTAAAGAAATGAAATCAAGAAATTAATAATCTCAGAATATAAAATGGGAATATAGTTTTCAATCAGAAAATTAATACTAGATGTCTGAATGCAAAGTCAGACCCGTGCCAATAGAACAGATAGCATACCGGCACTGCTCATCAATGTGTGCTTTCTGTGTTGTTGAATTGCAAATGCCAGTAATTTTACAGTTACTGTACTTTTGGGCAATGTATAAAGAGAGTGAACCCCATCCACATCCAACATCGAGGACAGTGTGTCCATCTTTTAACTGTGACCTCTCGCAGTACAACTCCAACATTGCTTTCTCAGCGTCTTCCAAGGAGCTTGATTCATCAGAAAAGTAACAACAGCTGCAGTAGTTTATATATAAACCATATCAGCTAATCAAGAGATCTTTTTAACATTGATTGCTTTCAAGGTTCCATGTCAGATTAGAGGCGATGAGTAGGGTGGAAGCATAGATACTTTTTAACTTGTTTTGTAGAAGATATGGCCAATCAAGAGATCTTCTACTTTTACTTGCATTGTCACATAAGATGCGAGAAGGAGATTTCTGCAAACGAGTGCAATTGACAAAAAATAGTTGGGGGAATGGAGTTTTGAGGTCACTTGGAAAAAGCTAGTTTCCAGAAGAAGAGCTATGAAATATAAAGAGAAAGAGACAAAGGCTCCATTACAACATATATTTGGGCATGGCAGTCTAGTCAATTGATTACAATCGGGTAAAGCAGATATAGCTGGGATAGAAGGATCAGGATGATAGAGTGCAAAACAATCTCAACTTGTCCTCCTCATGCAACACATGGATACTTAATTTTAGCAGAACTCAATAGGCTTTCGTTTCAAGATCTTCAAGTGTTGTTTATTTCTTTATATATGTGCTCCTTGAAACATATTGTTATGTTCTTAGTTCTTACTCTGCGACTTACCATTAGTTTTGATAAGTATTTCTTAACCTCATAGCAGGCCTGTACTCCGGCTTGAGTTTGTATTAATGTTGCCTTCATCATAGTACATACTGAAGGCACACTGCTACGTAAAGCAAAAGCCATTCCAATCATAATGCATGAACAAACCTGTATTTTAGATTTTTGCCGAGGACCAGCTTAAAGAAAGAGGTTGGTAGTTCATAATGCTGAGCTTTTGGCGTATCAGTCTCGATAGCCACAGGCATCTCCTTTAGAGCTGCAACCATAGGCACAAACACAACTACTTCACACATCAGGGACAAAGAGAAAAGTAAAAAAACATCTACTGATTCAATTTCTAATTTCTAAACAAATTCATTCCTTAAATTTCTAAAAAACTGTTAATTTACTTCAAAGTTCATGACTTCCTTTACGTCTAACCACGAAATTTCAATTTTTTTTTTTTTTTTAACCTCTAATTCCAAATTAACTCGGTTATGTACATTGGGATATTTGATTCCTTATTATTCCTCAACCTCTTTAAATTTTCAAGCTCTTGGAATTTACTATCTAAAAGTGGCCCCAATAGCTAACTTGACTCCAATTCCTAACACAAGCCAGGGCGCTATGTCCAAATTCCATATCGTAATCAACACTATTAAATTGTTCAAAACAACTCTCGAGGAGAAATTCTCTAAAACCAAAGGAAAGTGTTGTTTAGCTTAGCCATCGTCGCTAATGACTTTTAGTAACAACTTATTGCTGCTTGTGGGCCACCATAAAAATTTTATGTTAAAGAATAAATATTTATTTTATAGAAGAGATGGATACAAAGATAAAAGAGAAACAAAAGAGAGAATTAAAAAAATATATATATTTTTTCAGTACAAATGAATATATATATATCAATTTCAGTCTTCATGATGAACTAATATAATAAATACTAATCGGATACTCGTGCAACGTTATGGGTAGACAATCATTATTCTTTTGGTGTAATGCCAATAGAAAGTTTTATTTTTGGTGATTAATATAAATCAAATCTATATATAGTTAATTTCTAATATATATATATATATATACAGATTGAGAGTATATAGAATAAATAGAAAAATGTACAAAAAAAACCCACCTAAATTATAAAAATATATTAAGTCAATAGATTAAAATAAAAACTACAACAAAATTGTTTCTAATAAATTATGAATTAATATATATTAAAAAGAAAATAAAACTTGTAAATTTTTTTAACTCATTATTATTTAAAAAAATTGAGTCAAACTATCTAAAACATACTTTTAGCTCTATGTGTATATATATATATTAAAAAATAAAACACTTATTTAAAAATATAAAAATAATTTATTGTTTAAATTATAATAATATATTTTTAAAAAATAAAATATTGACGTTCTAAAATTTTATTCCAAAATTCATATATTAAAAAACCAAATTTATTATCAAATAAAATTATATCAAACAAATTATCGACCATTACAAATTTACAATAAAATCAAAATTAAAAATGTTTTAAAGTGGTCATTGTAACCTAAGATATGTTTGTCAATAATGAGATATATATATATATATATATGAAGGAAAAAAAGAAAAAGAAGCAAGGTCGAGCCGAGCGGTCAAGGCTTGATGCGTGCGTGCCCAAGAGCTAGCCTTGGCTGTTGGTCAACCCAGTAGGGAAAAAAAAACAAAAAACGAACAAAAGAATTGAGATACTATTCATCATTGTTCATTTATTGTTCAAAGATCCCAATTCTTTTAGTTTCTATGTAATTGGTATTTACTCATTTGATTACTATAAAATTTCTCAGATCACCCCAATTGTCTTAAGTTCTAACATGATGACGTATTCTTTCACCAAGTTTTACCTCGACATGAACGCAAACGAATGATGAATACAAACGCAAAAAGAACTGATATATTATTTATCATTGTTTATTTAATGTTGAAAAATTCTAGTTATTTTAGTTCCTTTGTAATTAGTATTTACTCATTTGATTACTATAAATTTTTTCGGATCACCCCAGTTGCCTTAAGTTCTGACATGATGACATATTCTTTCACTTAGTTTTACCTCGACACAAATGCAAACTAATGATGAATGCAAACTCAAGAAGATATTTACGAGGTTAGAAAATCTTACAATGCGCGAAGTGGAGGAGGTCAGCTAGCTGGAGTTCAGAGGATGGCTTGAAGCAAGAACGAAGACGGCCTGCCAAGAGCATGCGAGTCAGCCTTCTTACAACAGCATCTGGTAGCAAATTTCTTTCCAGTGATGCTAACATCATCTTCACCGTTGCTTCATAAGGCACCTGCATTAATCCCTCCATTTTAAGTAGAAATACTAGATTCTACAAGCTATCTATTTACCTTTGTGCCAAGAGATGACAACACTTCGATTCGTTTCTCCGTCTTATCTTATCCTCGATTCACTTTGCTCTAGACGGGGCTTCAGATGTATAATGGGCTTGATGATTGTATGGCTTTTGTTCCCTTTTGGTTTCTACTTTGACCCTCGTAATTTTTTTTCCCCTATTGAAAGCTGCTATACTAAAACTTATCCTCGGCGAAAGCTCAATAAAATTGGTTGCAAACCTGAGAAAACCCATCAAACTCTGGAAATAACTCCACTAGTTAATCTTATATAAAGGTTCACTGGTTGACTCATTCGAAGGTAGACCAAAAGCCAACCAGTTATGCCCTATATGATTATAAAAGCTCCACTCATGCAAGGGTAATGCAATCAGTTATTTACAACTGAAATAATAGAGCACTCTTTTAAAACAACGAAAAATGGACTCTAGAATTGTATATAACATGTGAAAATTTTATCTAAAAAAAGGAGATTGTATAGTTTTAAATAACGGTTGGTTTAAAAAATGATCGCGATCGCAACTTATCACGAGTAGTAAAATAATGATCGCGACAATTGATGTCATGAATATATTAGTAAATAAGTAATATATTTATTTTAATTCATATATTTTTAATAATTTTACTAATTAAATATACTAATAAGTAATGACGTATCTAATAGGTTAATATTATATATAAATAGTTAAATTTATTATATAAAAAAGTTAATAACACTTCTAATAAATTATATCACACAAAAAATAAGAAACTAATTATTTAATCTTTTGATTGGTGGTGACCATATGTAATGTAATATTATTTTATTCCACAAAATGTTTTTTTTTTCCATCAATTTTTTTCATGATATAAGTTTATTTATTTATTTATTTTTAAAACAAAAAGGAAAACAAATTTAAAAATAAAATGAACAAAGAAACTAAATAATTTGTTTTTGAAAAAAGAAGGACTATTTAATTCATCTATCAAAACTAAAAGGACTAGTGTTTAATTTACTCATTATTAAACCAAATTTCAGTTGCGTGCACAAAATCCAAGACCTATACGAATGCAAATTTAATTGATTAAATTATAAATTAGTCCTTTTAGTTAGGATAAATGAATTGATTAATCTTTTTTTTTTTTGAAAACTAAATAATTTTATCTTTTGATAAATATTTATCATGTTTAATATAATATTATTTTTTTCATAAATTTTTTTTCCATCAATCTTTTTTTGATATAAATTTAATTTTTTTATTTTTTAAAATAAAAGGAAAAAAATTAGAAAATAACATAAAATAAACTAAATAATTGTTATTTGAAACAAAAAGGACTAACTAAATTATTTTTCTAAACTAAAGAGACTAGTATAATTTGTTCAACTAAATCCTACACTACTCTAGCATTTGCATTTGACCTTGAATATCAATGTACTTCCATTTCACATCTCCCCCCCCCCTTCTCTCTCTTTACTCTTCTACTCCTCAATTCACATTCTTCGTCTCGTTTCTTTCTTTATCTCTCAATTCTCATCTTCTTTTTCGTCTCTCTTTAATTATCTACCGGTGTTTTTTGTAAGTCCTATTTATTCTTTTTTCTTGTTTTATTTTCATATAATTTGGGTTGGTGATTAATTAGGATATCATGAAATCAAGTACGACCATTTGAGATGAATGGTTTTGGAATTCGTTGCAGCTCCCCTAGATCTCATAGCATTTCCTTTCTAACATGAAATAACAATCCTTGGATATGCGGCTCTTAGTATCGCAAGTCTTTATTCACCGTCATATATCTCACCGAGTTGCAATATATATCTATGTTTCCTTATCAAATCCTAATGCTTGCAAAATCAAGGCCATCTCCTCGAGTGTCAATGGGCACAAACCTTGTGATCTCCTCTATTCGGACACTATCTGTTTCTTTCTCCACCGAGGGTATGCAAACCTTAACCGGTTGAGCTCCTCAGCTTCTTTCTTGGTTGTAGAGTTTTGATTTTTTTATTTTTTTTATTTTCATGTATAAAGTTGTTATATAACGGCAAATAGCGATTTTATATAACGGTAATGTTGTTATTTATCGTTATTCTTGTTAAACGGCATTGGAGTGCAAATAATGCCTAATAACGATAACAGAATGCCCCATTACCATTATATAACGATCGTTACATTACGTAATGATCGCTATTTAAAACCATAAACGGTTGGTTAATCATTAATGTATAGGCAGTTATAAGAGTAACAAATTCTCAATAACAAAACACAACTCTAGATAATTAGAAAGAATTTGAAGAATTGTTGAATGGAAGAAGAACATAACAAACTTTACAATGCAAGATAAGAAGATACGAATGCATTGTAAAACAACCAAAGATAAGCATGAAGCACAATAGCTCGCATAAGAACAAGTGGCCCACTATTGCGAGGTTATGAAGTAGCAACATGCATATAAATACTAGCTCGAATCATAGAAGAAGGACGATAATACAAAACACAAATATACTCTCATAAACGACTCAAAGAGCATATCAACCATAATTTTATATTATTGTAGGTTTTTATTTAAAAATGAATGAATCAAAAAAATGAATCATGTTTTTTAACAACAAAATCTATGAAAAAACATAAAGAAGCACGAATGAAACACAAAATTTGATTAAAAATTATGAAATTAAATAAAAATTTTATATTTTATTTTTAATTTAATATATATTAGTAGGAAAAAACTACAAAAGCTGAGATATTTACTTTTCAATTATCATGGTTTTAGACAATTCATTGTATTGCTTGATTTCTGCCCCTATTTTTTCGTTAATTTCTCTTTTGACACTCTATGGATTTGAGAAACTTCATTTTTACCCTTGACTGATTCTCTTTTTAATTTTATTTTTAGGCCTTTTTCATTATTTCCTTCTTCTTCTTTTTTCGGATTGAGAATTTAATGCTTCGTCTTCTTTCAATGTTTTTTTCTTCTTATTTTCTACAGGGAAGCCAAAGAAACTTGCTATTAAGGAGAGATTATAAATTAGTCCCTCTTTCTTGGTTCAAAAACTTTTTTTTTTTTTTTTGTCCCTTTTGTTATTTCAATGTTTTTATTTTTTATTCTAAGAAATAGACAAAGAATAAAACAAAGTAATATATATATATATATATATATATATATAAAGACATTTTATAAAATAAAAAAATAAATTATTCATGGTCAATATTGATTAAAAAAATTAAATAATTTATTTTTGAAACCAAAAGAATTAATTAATCCATTTCTCAAAATGAGATAAACTAATTTATATTTTAATTAGTAGTTCAAGAATCTCTCTCATCATAGATTAAGAAATATAAAATTTATGGGAATTAATTTTGTAGTAGTTTTTATTTTTATTTATTGACTTTAATATATTCCATACAGTTTAGATATATTTTTTTAAATGTTTGTTTACACTATGATCATAATATATATATATATATATAATTAGTTTTGTTGGAAAGTAATTACGTATCTCCTTACATAACACCATTAGTCCCTTTGGTTCAATAACTAATTTTTTTTTTACCCTTTTTGCTATTTCAATGTTTTTTTTTTTTATGAAATAGAGAAAGAATAAATTAATAAGTAAAAATATGAAGGAAAAAAAGACAAAAATATGAAAAAAGGCATTTTTAAAATAAAAAATAAATTATTCGTGGTCAACACTAATTAAAAAAATTAAATAATTTTTTGAAACCAAAATAATTAATTCATTATTTTTTTTTCAAAACAAGAAGAACTAATTTATAATTTAATTTGCAATTTAAGAATCTCTTTTATCGAAATTAAGAAGTAAAATTTATGAGAACTAATTTTGTAGTAGTTTTTATTTCAATTTATTGATTTTAATATATTGCATACAACTTAGATGATTTTTTTTAAAAATTTTTTTATACTATATACTCTGAATAATATATATATATACTTTCGTTGAAAATTAATTATGTATCCGAATACATCGCACTATTAGTCCCTTCGGTTCAAAAAATAATTTTTCTTGTCCTTTTTACTATTTCAATGGTTTATTTTTTGTTTTAAGAAATCGAGAAAGAATAAAAAGAAAATAAGTAAAAATATGAGAAAAAAAATTTTTAAAATAAAAAAATAAATTATTCATGGTCAACACTAATTAAAAAAAATTAAATAATTTATTTTTGAAACCAAAAGAGTTAATTAATTCATTTTTCAAAATGAGATGAACTAATTTATAATTTAATTTGTAATTCAAGAATCTCTTTCATCATAAATTAAGAAGTAAAATTTATGGAAACCAATTTTATAATAGTTTTTATTTCAATTTATTGAATTTAATATATTCCATACAACTTATATCATTTTTTTAAAAAAATTTGTTTATACTACATACTCTAAATATTCTAAGTATGATCATAAGATATATATATATATATATATATCATTAGTTTTTAGTTTTGTTGAAAATTAATTATGTATTTACATACAAAACACTAATTATTTACTATTTATTCTTTTTTATATTCTAAAATCAATATTTGTTTTAAATAAAATAACTTAAATATATATCATTAGTTTTTTTAGAAATTAATTATGTATTTGCACACATAACACAAATTATTTGTTATTTATTTATTTATTTTTTATGTTATAAAATCAATATTTTTAAATAAAACAATTGAAATAATGTTTTGAAAGTACCTTTCAATTATCCAAATATAACCTTTTATGCTAATATTATGTATGTATGTATGTGTGTATGTATCGTATCGTATACATCATATATATATATATATATATATATATATATATATATATATATATATATATATATATGTCATTAGTTTTGTTGAAAATTAATTATGTATTTACACACATAACACTAATTATTTGTTATTTATTCTTTTTTATATTCTAAAATCAATATTTTTTTAAATAAAATAACTTAAATATATATCATTAGTTTTGTTAGAAATTA